CCGAAGTGCAGAGATGACAGTCACACATTGGCCCTATGGCCTGTATTGCTACTTACTCAAGGATGACACAGCTACTGCCACCTCCAGATGTTCACCCTTCTGGTGGGGGGCAGCAAGTGGAAATCGCTGACCACCGAGTCACACTAGAGTTCCATTCTAGAAGAATCAAAGTTCACCTCACGGGTACTTATTTCAGTTGTGGGTAATACTTGTGATTCGTTTCTACGTTTTTTGGTTCTTTTAGGTAAGCACCACACAGAAGCTTACTGAATGTCAGATACACAAATTATGGGATCTCTCATGGCATCCACCAAGGTAACCACTTCAGAAGTAATGTGATACAAAAGCAAGACGTTTGCAGAATCTCATCCACACAGCCTGGAGGCAGTTGGTGATGTTGGAGTGATTGGGCCAAAAACCCATGAACAGTAAAGGGGGCAGCCTAACCACCTAGCATTACTGGTAATCACCCACCTGGGGCCTTCATGCTTTCTGTGAGGTCCTAAGTTCATGAAGGGGGAAACTCTTGTCAGGGGGACAGAAGTCCCACACTTGTGAATGTTTTAGGTCTGTGTGTTTAAATATCAGTAGGTGAGAAAAGGCACTACTCTCTTGGCAGGAGTGATTGTCCCTGGTTTCCAGAGGATGTGAGACCTCAGTCCAGCAAGGATGGAAAAGAATATGTGTGGGGTTCTGGTGGCCACTTTGCCACCTTGTACAGACTCTGGTTCAGGTTTGGCTGTGAGGAAGAACGGGTGTCTTCCCTAGCTGGGTGTGGTTACCTGGGGCCTAGATGGGGCAGAGTAAGCGTCTGAGCTGCAGAGACAGCTATGGCCAGCAGCACCTCTGTGAGTAACTGCAGAGACTGGGCTGCAGTTTCTTCCTTCCCGTCTCCTCGCACCTTGCACAAAGGTCACACTTGTCAGAAAGTGAAGCCTTCTGCCTTCTCCCTCTTGACTCTCTTTGGGCATCCCTTTCCGTAGTCACTCACACTGCTAACTCTGCTTTGGAATCTGCTTCTCGGAAGATTCACACTGACACCTGAGGTAGAGGCCCAGGAGGTTCTCATCACTGGGATCAGCACCAAGCAGTCTAATATAGTGTAGAAATCACTCATTTCTTAAGTCACTTTCTCGTACTCCAAAACCATGGAGCTCTGCATGTTTTGTATGTAATATGTCCAACTATGTACACAAAGGAGATGATTATCCTTTATTAAATAATGGTGTCTATTAACCTGAAACAAGAGCAACATTCATGTATACTTTTTGTGTTAACACATAAGCTATAGAAGTATAGAGAGACTCAAGTGAAAATACGAAGTATTATATGTTGTAATATACCTCTTTTCTCCTTAAGGGGAAAAAGACACTTTTTAATGTCGATAAAATCATCTTCAAAAACAAGTACAAATAGGCATTTCTGCAGGCACAAAGGTTAGGTTGCTTGTCTTCTACTGAAGTCAACAGCTGCAGTGGTCTGTGACCATGAATTGAAATGCATCGTCAAAACAGAGCATTGTAGCTAAGTTTACACAGGTGTGTAATACCGAAAATATTGAAGCATTAATAATTCTGGCAGCATCACTTTAGCATTGGTCTAATGAGGATCAGTATTTAAATCATCACTAAAGGAACTTTGGATTTACACATCTTTAGGGATTACTATTTTGCATATATGTGTGTATGTGTGTTTGTGTGTGTGTGTGTGTGTGTATGTGTATGTGTGTGTTCATAAATTGTAAGTTCATAAAAGATGAGAAAGAAGATGCAGAGAGAGTTGTTTCTATCAGCGCAGCATTCATATCAGGTAGAGTTATTTCTTTAATGTGTTGCACGCATCAGGACAGCTTCTACCATGAACCTCTCCTTGTCAAGGACTTACTTCCAGCTGCAAACTCTCCCAAGAGCAGCCAAAGGGGAGATAAACTCCCTGACCTTTCCTGTGTGCTTGAAACCCTATCTCTAGCTCTCATTTCTCTCACTTTAGCCTCTTTAGAATTTAACTATTTGCTGTAATTTCCACCAAGAAGCACCCAAAGTTAGCTGAAATTCATGCTGTGGTATAGTAAAACATTTTATTAGCCTTGTCTTTGGCTTTTTTTTGAGGCAGCCTCTAAATCCTTAGATTTCCCAGCCATCAGAGTGTGTTTGTTTGTTTGTTTGCTTTTATGGTCATCCCAATGAGCTGCAGTAGAGTTCATGCTAGTGAGTGGGTGGTAGAGAATCTCTAGGTTGATCATACTAATGGGCTATGGAATGAGCCAGGTGAGGGGCTTACCATGCCTGGAACGCTCGAATATGTGATTAGAGAGCTGAGGTTTTGAGCTGCATATCAGCCTGAGACAGGGTCAAGATAATGAGTTCATGGGGGCTGAGGATTTAGCTAAGCGGCATAAGCACCTGCCTTGCAAGCAGGTGGTTGTGAGTTCGATCCCCGGTACTGATAAAAAAGGAAAAAGACAAAAAAAAAAAAAAAAAAAGATAATGAGTTCATATTTGACACCTAGGATTGGATCCATCATGCCCTTAGAAATCCCAATTACGACTCTATAATGACTCTCAGTACAGGTTGCATGGCTGAGGGATCTGTGCTTTAGAAATACAGAAACATCACATTTGGGATCTTGTGGACCCTGCCCTGTGCATTGCTTTATTTGACTGATTTTTTTCCCTTTTATAAAAAAACGTAAGGTAGGCATGATGTTTGTCGGAGGTCTGTCAGTCGCTGTACTGAATTCTTCAATCTTAGCTGGTGGTGGGAACTTCTAAGTCAATAGCCAGTTTGCCACTGTCATGGGTGGCCTTGGAGCTTAGCCCTGCTCTAGGTCATGTAAGGATCACTGAAGTTATGTACGGATGGACCGATGCATTTGTGTACTGAAACCAATCCTGACCTGAGCTGAAGTCTGATGTAACTTGAGTTGTGACTTAAGGACTGTACTACAGTCTTTAAACCCCAGAGCATAAGCTTTTCCTAAACCCAACCATCTTATTTGGTGAATTGTTTCTCTTCCCACATCATCAGCCATTCAGTCCAGTTTTATTCCCTTGTAAACCTCTCACAGCCTCGCCTGCAGTTCACATTCACTGTCACTTGTGTAATCTTTTCTATTTCAATACTGTATAAAGTGCTTTATTTCTGCTTTAATCTACTCTGTATTTCTCAAATTTTATCTCTTACCCTTCCTTCGAGCTCAGATCTTTCCCAGAAATGTTCATGAGCCCACTATCATGTCATTCGACTAGCAGATTCTAATTTATTTGTTAAATCAGTGCCTTCTCGGTGTCCAAGCTCCAAGAAGGTCCACGAGGTGGCCTCACACATCTCTTCGACTGTCTCCTTTTTACATATGTAAAACTTTTGCTCCAAACCAATTGCTCATTTTGTTTTAACTGCCAAACAATAAGGATCTGTCTCCATTCCACTGAAAACTGTGTGTGTGTGAAATTATGTTTCCCCTGCCTATTCCCCTTCTTATTTTAGTTCTCTCGCCCTATGAGTATTTTTGGACCTTCTGTTTTTTAGGATTTGTCGTTACCTCTAAATACCTGCACACCTTTTATGCATACTGTATATTTTACAGAGAGTTTTCATTTGATTTCAAGTCTGAATAAACTGGAATTTTAACTTTTTTATTATTCTAGTCCCTTTCAAAAGTATACCATTAGTTTTTGAAAATAAGCAAATATAATAGTTGTTTTGTGATTCAAAGAACTAGCAACATGTAAGACTTGCACCAACTTTCTGGTTTTGTTGTGGGTTTTATCTAATTAACATGCACAGTTGTCTGGCATATAAAAGACAATGAAGGTGGAAAAAATAGTACGGTTATTAATTTTTAAGGAGTTCTGACACAATCTAGTACTTTAAATGGCCTTGAAATTTTAGGGATAGTGTTGTTTATATGACTCTGCTTGTAGCCATTATAGAGAAACTACATTCATTTGATGTTCTTCAATATGGCATGTGTGATTTTTCTAATCCAAACTTGTCTCACTTGAATCTTTGAAGACAACAGAGCTCACAGCTCTCTCCATCAAAACAAACCAAAATACACATGAGAGCATAACCGAGTAGTCCTCACTCTTTCCTGTCAGGAAAGGTCCCATGTCCCAAATATTATTTAAGAAGCAGCATTTCCAGGCAGCTTTGCTATCCTTAATTTAGCATATCTTCTTGCACTGCTCATATGCTCCTGTGTAACTGAAGAGTAAATATTGCAATTCCTGTAATTTTCCCATTTTTGTGGCAAAAAAAAGGAAAACAGGATTCCAGTGTCTCTGAAGAAGGGGGAAGCATGAATCAGCACTCATTTAACAGAAAGAGGGTTTGGGCTGAAATAGCCTCTGTGTGAGATAATGCAGCCTTTTATTAAAGATCACATCCTGGAAATTGCCTACAGGGAATTTACTCAGCATTTTGGGCAAATGAGTTCTTGGATATTACATCTGCATTTGTTTTAAAGAGGTTTCTATATTCTTGACTTGACAAATCAGTAATAATACTGAAGAACTGAATTTTGAAGTGCAGAGCATCTAATCTGGGAATAAAGATAAATGTGTTTGAAAATAAAGATGAAATGGATAGTGAAAATTTACTTTCCTGAAAAGCCTTGTCTGATAAATTTCAACTTTCCTTGTAAGAGCCTACATTACTTTTACTTACTGTCAATGGAAATACATTGTTACAGGGCTTACTTTGTTAAATGTGATCTTACAGTTGCTCTATATTGCTACATTTGAATTGGTGGTTTCTCTCAAACACTAATTTAGATCATTTACAGGCTTGTGGATCAATACATATTTTAATATGCTCAGAAGAAAGATTCTGTATTAATTTCCATCTCATAAAAGGGTTAACAAAATCACATAATGATACAGTTCTATACAATGACATGGTGACCAAAAGGTTGACTTTTACTTTCTTAATCCTGCCTCTTCAGTTAGTTGTATATATTGATTGATTTGGTAAGAAATTAGAGTAGAAGAAATCTAGCATTCTTATTTTAAACACTTGTTTATTTAACAATGTTACAGACATATGGTAGGGTCTGGTAACTGAAGATCATTGGCCATCAAAGTTGGCTGCAGCTGGAGCCAAATGAACACTTCCAATAGGCAGAGCAAAAGCACAAGAATGATTGACTGCTTTTTTGGTGAAGGCCTAGTTCCAACTACTGGAGATTCCAACATCTTCTCAGATGAACAGAATTCATTGGCGGAAAGTACCTGAAACCAAACCAGATAGACACGGTTGACAAAGGCTGCTTGGGAAAAGTTAACATGCAATGAAGATTATGTTATTATAACAGAGCGGTATGCTCTGACAGCAGAGCAGATTCTAAGAAGATGCAGGAGATGAGGAAGCACAGGATAGCTACCCCGGGAGTCATAATTTTATCCCTTAAGTCCCAGATTTCCAGACACTGGGTCAGAGAAGAAGGGACCAGAGTGGAAAGTGGGGAAAGATGCTGTCCTGTCACCAGGCAGGCGGAGCTTGAGCTGTACACTTGGGCATCTGACTGACCCAAAGGTGTAGGTCTCAGAGTCAAGCATGTATTTCTAGGGCTGAGCTGAATAGAGAAGGTTAGGTTAGAATTCTGCATGCAATGTCACTTGTGTCTTTTGAGCCTGCTGCTTTTACATTCCTTAGTAAGAGGCAAGAATTGTTTCAAATTCTTTGCTTGGAACTCCAAACTGACAACCCTTTCATTGTTTGTCAGGCATCTGACCAAGCTTCTGAAGAGCTTAACTTTTGATCTGAGTTGCAGAAGGTGGAAGAAGGATAAAGAGAAGAATGAAAGACAGCATTTTACCTGCAAGAGATACATCAGTATGCTTCACAATTATCAGAAACACTCCACTCAGTCATCACTTTATGAACATGTTCTACACGTTCTACAGTTTTAGGTATTAGAGTTATTAAGACAACAGGACATGTTTCTTCCATAAAGAAATACACATACTCATGGGGACACAAATAAGCAAAACACAAAGACAAAAACTAAATAATGTAGCATGTGGCATTCTCCAGTGAATTTGTGGGAGGGTCAGAAGAGTCAGAAAGTATCTTCGAATAAGTGGGAGTTCAGCCTGAATATCAGATGTATTCATTGTTAAGTTTATTTGTACAAAATAGCTCTCTGCTGAGTTGTGACAAGTGGTTACATCCACGGTAGTAAATACATTAGTACTGGGTTTTGAATGCCATGCTGGGGCATTCTGATTTGGGAGATGCAGGGGATTATTTAAATGTTAAAAGTAAGTGCAGGCACATGGCAGAAATTTACCTATGACTTCTTTCATTAGGGCCCCCAGAAGAAGAGGGAGGACAGGCAGGAAGTTAAATTAGTTATTTGTTTTGTACAATAAATAGGGTACTTAGGAGGGAGCACAGATCGTCAGGAGATGAGACTGGGCTCTGAAGTTGTTTCAGATGGTTTTTCCTTACCATGGTCTTTCCACCAAAACTAGAGGAGAGCAGAAAGCTGTAAACCAATCAGGGAGTGTAGCTACCCAACAGGTATCTCATTCCAAGTCTTCCTGTGCTACTCTCTTAGCATGTAAAAACAGTTTTGGGAAATAATATGGAAACAAATACAAAAAAGGGAAGAAGGTGAAGGTATTAATATTCACACATGTGTCCAAATATGAAGGTATTATCAACATACACAGTAGATGTTATTTTCTTTTTTTTAAATTTTATTTAAGGAGAAAAGAAAAAAAAAGCAGGGAAAGGGTACAAGTTATACAGATTTACAGAAAAAAAATGAACAGTAGGAAATCACTAGTTGATGGATTACATATTGTCATCTTAGAAATAATTGTTCAAGTCACAAAATTAAAGCTTGTAAAGTGGACATTCCATCAATGATACTGCAAACAGTTCTGTTCAATGATCCAATAAAACTCTGTGATATCATTTTCTATCTTATACACTTAAATATACATGCAGTTATATAGTTTGGAGCACTTTCTTTTCCTCTCTTTTGTACAATGACTATTGCACATTTTGGGTTTCATTGCTCCCACGGTTCTTATTACTTTTTTGGAAGAGAGTAAAACCAAATGTGACATAACAGAACAGAATCGGTCAAGTCAAAAGGGTGGACATAATAGATAATGTAAAAACATAATACAAGGTGATCAACAATGGTTACCATAATGCCTCCCGCTATCTCTAATAGAATTGCCTATATCATTAGTTATAATACAATTGAACAAAACAGTAAAGAATAAAACCGACAAAACCAAAACATTGGAGACATAGTAGATGTTATTTTCATCACAGTAGAAGGTGCTTTGCCATTACTCTGCTTCAGAATGCTCCCTTATATTTGAATAGACCTGCTCCACCATTCTTGTCACTTTCTGAAGCAATTTTTAAAGTCTTCTTTTGTGAGTGTCTTTATCAAGTGGCATCAAAGCCATGGTGAGTGCTGCTATTCAGGTCCACTGAACAGAAAGGCAGGCTCACAACATTGTTCTGTGTTCTAATCTACCTTATTCACTGGATCTGACACTGGGCAACTTCTGGTTCTTCTGCACGGGCAACATGATCATGAAACATAAATGTTTAGAACTGATTTAGGACATCAAGGCAGTCAGGACAGTGCAACAAAAGACAGTCACAGAAACGAACTTCTAGACCTGCTCCAGAAAATGGCAAAAATAATGGGATAAGTGTGTTCAAGGTGGGAGTGGGAGGAGTTATATATTGATTGAGGGGCAGTGATAGCAATGTATCTTTTAAATTAATTTAAAAAGTTACAACTCACTGTGTATGTTGATTACACTGTGAACCATTGGTAGTTCATCCTGCAGAGCCTACACGGAGGCTTTGTAAGATGCAGCAGTGGGCACAGAGAAGCACATGTACACACTTTGGGCCTTGGTGTATTAGAATTTTGGCCATAATTTGATGTGAATTCACAGTGTCATTAAGTAAAGAGCATCCAGAGAGTTAATGGCAATGTGCCTTTTAATGTAATACTTTTTGAAATTTAAACAGTCACTGTCGTTTGTCGTCATGCCATGTATCATTCCTTTGCTTACCAAACCTGCTGTTGTCATTTTTAACAGTATGATGAAAATGTTCTAGATGAAGACAAGAATGGCTAATGGGACAGAACTGGCTCCAAGTCAGAGTAGGACCAATAGCAATTTAACGTATCTAAGTATTATTTTAACACCAAATGATCTTTAAAAAATGGTGTGAGAATTAAGCCAAGTCAAAAAAAACTCATCATGATAAATAGCATGGAGAAAAGGAGGAAGAAAACACATATTTATTTCAGGGATTATGATGGGCACATTTTAGAACAAAAATATCTTCTCAAGTTAGAATGTGTATGTATAATGTTTTCATTTTCTTGAGAAGTTTAGTAGAATAATGCTAGTTTATGTTGTAGCTTGGCATAACTGACGCCATCTTGAGCCCTGCATTTAACTAATGCCCTGTATTTGACCCAGGAAAATGGAAAATTACTCAGGGTATGAGTCCCATGAGAAAAGCAGAATGAGCTGTACCCACAAGAGAAAAATTAGTCTGCTCAACGAAAGAAGCAGGATACAGGTGTCAACCAAAATTAATGTAAGGTTCTAGCTGAACTGTTTCCAACAGGATGTCTTCTGTGATTCTCTGTTTTAAAAACTCTGTAACTTTCCAGTTTGGTGCCACTTATTTGGACTCTGAAATGGTGGGGGTCTATATATGAGTGGTCCTGAGCTCAGGTAATTAAATTTCAAATTTATCAATTTGGCTGCGTGGATTCCTATACTGTTGCTCACGAACCCACCTCAGTTTACCACAATAAATTGGGTTATAACATAAACAATATTGAAAAATAATATAGAATTAAGAAATTAAAACTCAGATAAAGTTAAAAATTTATAGGTTATTAGTTACAATTGCATATTCTTAAGTACAAATATTTTATACTTTTGTTTAAATGTAGTTTCATAATGGCCATCCTTTAAGTCATTATGAAAATAGTTACTTTTGACCTCCCCATTGGTAAAATCTACTTTATGACAGGTCATTAGTATATTTTTCTCAAGGATGGAACACCTGAAATTCATCTTTGTCATAGAAAATTAGCAAAGCAGATATCCTATAGATCTCAGGATACAAAAATCATCTGTATATTTTGAAGGCAGTGGTAATCACACAAAGATAAATGAAAAACAATGTACTCCTTCCTTAAACATTCTAATTTATCTCTCAGTTATCTGTTTTTGAAGTATTCATGATTGATTAAAAATCTGTGTAAAAGCTACTTATAACAAAATAAATTACCCTTTAATATCTAATATAGCAACTTAGCATTTGAGAAAAAGAGATATCCATAAAAGCCTAATATATTCAGAATTTGACAAAGTATGACCTATTTACTGAAGCAGAAAAGGCACTGCAGGTTTCTCAGTGCTTCTTTTTTTATTCCAAAGTAGATAAATCATACTTAGTAACTAAAGAGGGGCAATCTTTCCAGACTTAGATATTTAGGGAAAAGCAGGAAGAGAAAATTGGGGCAGGGTTTGCACAGTAATTTTGACTAAAATACTCTCAAGACAAACAACTGGTGAACTTAAAAAGACTTTCTAGAACTATCAAAATACGAGAAACATTTAATGAATTTTTATAAAGAATAGTAATAACTGTAGACTACTCCGTGTCTTTTACCTGATGTGGAATATTTTATCTATCTCTCTAGGTTATCTTAGTTTGTTGAAAAGAAAGTTTGTGTTACTGTCTGTTTCTTGTTTTCTAAGAACGTTTTTGATTTTTGTCTTGTACTGAGCAACTGCTCTGAAGACAGACACATGCAGTGTAACAACTATCGCTGTTCTCTTACTTGGTTATAGGTCATGGGTATTTTTTCATAAAATAAGAAAGAAATCATAGTCATGTTGCTGCTTTCTTAAAATCTACTAAAGTTTTTGTGAGAATTATAAATATACTGGAAAGAGAGAAACAATTGTATTATGCAGAGCCCTGGGCTAGCCGTTGTGTCTCCTCTTTGGAAGCGCTGTTCAGATGTACCAATTTAATTCTCTCTCTTTGCTGGATTAAATACAAAAGTAAGGAAAAACAGTTGGTGTTCATGGGCAATTTCTTACAAAAATAATATATACAATAATAGTAACATACTGTGTATTTTAAAAGGTAAAATATTTTGAGAATTTCACCAAAAGGAAATGAAAATGAGGAAATATGTTTCATCTGCTTTGCTACTACACATACATACATGCAGCAAAATATCACATATTTCTCATTTTATGTTTTGAGCATTAGTTAAAAATAAATAGAACTTAAATTTTAAAAATCAAAATTAAAAAGATATAAAACATACTGAGGCCCTCTGTATGTTGCAAAAAGAAATTTTCGTGTCTTGCTGCAAAATAGTATAATATTAATATAAAGACTGACATACTTTGTATTACTCACATTTAAAATAGATCAGTAAGTCATTAATTCTTTTTAAACCATCCAAAAGTCCTTCCAAAACAGATACATATAAAAAAATTATCGTTTAAAGTCTTATAAAATACTGTCATGGTAATTCATATTATAATTAGTATTATTTTAGACATCCCAAGTGGTTAACAGCATATTGGTAAACTAGAACAATGACTTGTTCATTCCTCAGCCACATTTGTATATTTTACCCTCACCCATGCTTTAAGCTAAAGTTAGACTTAGGACCAAAATTGAAATTTCTAACAATGTAAGTATTTTGTCTTTTTTTGGGGGGGGGGGTTAATATAAATTTAAAATTATATACTAGGATTGAAAAGGTTTCAAAGAGAGTTTTTTTTTATTATTATTAAGAAAGAAAAGTACTGGTAATAGCTTTTAGGACCCTTAAAAAACCACTCCCATTCTAAATCCAGAAGGACAGAAACGATCAATAACACTGGCCATTTGGCTTAATTCAGGTTTTCTTTAATGAACATGCTCCATTCTCACTAAAAGCATTCTTGCAAGCCTGGGATGGATTTCGATTTCCTGGCGACTGACAGGAACAGAGGCTTTAATGAAGCCTAGAGGGACCCACCTTGCTCTGTGCCACTTTCCTTGGCCGTCGTCTTAGTGCCACTGAACTCAGAAGCATATGGCATTTTGCTGTGGACTCACGACCCGTGGATCTACAACAGTTAGCTAAATTAATTTTCCCCATGTTTTGCTCTTTTGTTTGTTTTTGGTATCAGGAGTCAAACTCAGGCCCTTGCGCTTGCCAGGAAGGCACTTATGCTGCTGAGCTATATCCCCAGCCTTTCTCCATAATCCTTGATGTACATTATTTTAGAAACACATTCCAACACCATGGATCATTTTTGAGTATGTAAAGTCTGATAAGTGTAGGCATAACGATCTCAAGGAAATATGAACCCTGAATTGGTTTGATCATTTTATTAATATTCAGTGAGATTGTTTCTATTTCTGTAGTCACTTTCCTAGTTCAAGTAACCATTAATTTGTGTCTAATACAATGTCATTAACACTGGGAATACTTAAAAAATCGCTTCTGATAAATGCACAGCATCTAGACTATTATAGTAGCTCTTGTCCCACTTATTCAAATTTATTCCAATTATTTTCTATCCAGTTGTCAGAAAAAACTCTTGATTTTCTACCATATTCAATTCTCTGCTTGAGAAAGTAGATTTTTTTAACAAATCAAAATTCTATGCCTGAAGTTAAATTTATCTATCAGTTTCTATGGGTTCCCATTTCTTAATCTAGTTGATTTATTATTACTTCATCACAGCTATATATTTCTCTAAAAAAGCACATTTTAATTTTGGGGATCTAACAAATATAGTTAAAATTTCAAAAATGAAAGTTTTAATGAATCCCAGAGTAAATATACCAGTTCACTGGTGAACACTGAACAAGCTTTTGTGATTTCAGAAAATTCTCCTGCCGAGGATCTAAATCAGAGGTGGCCTGGAGGAGCAGAAAATGATGGAGTGCAGAGATGAGGGTGCAGCCATCGCTGCCTCCTTTTCTCCCTAAGTTTAAACCCGTATCATCTATAAGGAGAGGTTTTAGTATTCAGCAGGATAGTAAATCTTCTCAGAGAAGAGTAGTTACCCACACTGAGTACAGGAGGATGGGGGCAGAAACTTTTAAATGAAGATTTTAGGGCAGTCCTGTGTTACACAGAGGGAATCAGGTCCTCCCCTAACATTTCATATTGCAAATGGAAGAAGCAAAACATACTTAAGATCGAATGTCTCAAAAAGTATAAGAGAAATGAGGAGACTTTCAAATGAGGAGACTTTTGTCTGCTTGTGGGGTGACAATCCCCATGTGTGCAAAGATTAATTTTAGAATTCCTCATCTGTAGGTGACCAGTGAGCACGGTTTTGGCCCAGGCCTTGGATTTAAATGGACTGCTTTTCTTGAACGAGATTATTCATTGTTTCTGCATCCCAGGGCCATTGCTGTTGCAGACAATGCCATCATTTTGCAACAACAGCAGAACTTCCCACTCAGTGACTCCTCCGCCCACAACACCTGAGATTTGGTCCATCAGCCCTATCAGGAAGTGTCAATTCCATTATGAGAAAACCACTCCAACAACTATGACATTCAACACAGAGGCAGGCGACAGAGGTGACTACCTGTTTTATCTCATGGGAAGTACGCGTGCCCAGATATATTCTCTGATTTCAGCCTAATTATGTCTTTAGCTGTTTGTCTTTATGTCTGTAATTGCCACGTTACTTTTTTTCTAAATGACAGCTTTTTCCTTTCACTTTCATGCTACAATGGCAGCTCTACAGAAAAAAACAGCACTCTCTGTATTTTATATCCAGCTCTAAATCATTTGATTGCTTTCTACAGAGTCAACCTTCTGTTTCATTAACCACTTCCCAAACACCAAACGCAGGGCAACTCCTGGAAATAATATGTATTTGTTTATCCATTTGCTTCTCCATTTTGAGCTTAGCCTCTTTCTCTACTTCAATCTGGTCACATCAGCTCTGGTATCTCTATGGAATTTCCTGAACTGGAAGTTGTTTTCAGTGGCTAAAAAATGCAAGTGATTTTTAATTCAGTCCCAGGGACATTTGGCATGATCCAGAAATGTACCCAGCCACCATAACAAAAAGTGGTGTCAGCTGCCCATCTCCAAGAAGTATTTGGTCAACAAATCAACAGTGTTGCTGTTGAGAAGCCTTCAACTAATCCAACTGCTTGTATTTCCATCCTGTGCATAATTTGATTTCTATTTGTGTACATTAAATCATCTGTATTGGAATATGAGCTTATAGAACAATATGACAGCACTGTTCGTGTGCTTTTTTCAAAAGCCTACTAAACATCTGGCATATGTGGGCACACACAAAAACTTATACATCTATCATTTATTAAAGAATAAATGTACAAAAAGAAAATTACTTACCAATAAAGCTATGTTATATTCAATGTGTATTTTCTTTGATGACCTTGGGAATTAGGTTGCCATTGAGAATCTTTTGCTAATGAAAATCAGTTAGGATTTTCTGGCAAAGACAGAAGTTACAGGTCAATGCATGTTTTAACTGATATGCAGAAAAGCAGACATTTTACAATAGTGACTAGAGTTTTATAATTAATACACTAATAATTGGAGTTTGAGGTTTGCAGAGCTAGTGTGTCATTATTGCCTATGTTTGTTATGTTGAATTTGTTGAGTTGCTGTTTTATCCTGTGCTACAATTGAGTCTTGCTTCATGAAGGTCTCTTGACTGCTGCACATGGGTGTTGGTTAAATCTGCTCCCATTCGTTTGTATTCCCCTAAATGGAGTATCTAGCTCTTGGGTAAAATAAAACATTGTTACCTTGCCAGTTTGCTGTAAATATTTGAAAATTATTGCTATTAGAATACATAAACAGTTCCTTAACTTCCCTTATGAAATAAGCTGGTGCATTTTGCTTACTAATGAAAGATCTATGCTTGTGTAATATACAGTAGTCTCCCATATAAGTGAAAACAAATGGAGCTAGTGGTTTCCAGGTCTACAGGCCAATGTTCAAACTATCTAGGCCACCATACAATGTCCTCCAAACCTGCTCCTACTGACCCTTTAGGCATATCTTCCACACACATTCTGCTTTTCACTGAACCACTTTCCTTATATTCTTATACAGCTTTCAATTTCTCCATATGTAAGGCTTATGTCTCTTTTCCAAATTTTACAATCATAAAATGAACTTTTGATTTTCTTTCCATTTCATCCTACCTTCCTCTTTAAATTGCTGGTCTATAATTCAGGCATCTCACCTGTCAAACTTCCAAAAAGACTTCTCTTCTAAGCCATATACTTCTGCCTATAAACTCATAATATCTTTACCACTTTAATAATTTATACTGCCATTTCTCTCATTATATTTTCATGTTTTTATTTTAATTTTTTCTCAGACTGTAAAACCTTGGTGGCAAGGACTATGATTTAAAAACACTTTGCATCAAACTCAGCACCCACTGGAATGTCCTATATATAGTAATTGTCCATTATGCAGTAGCTGGATAAATGTTATATGATATATAATATATAATGTTACTTTTGACATAGAAAATATCATAACAATGTAGTTATAAAATATGATATATAGTGTTTTTCCAGTAATAATGTACATGTCAAGAAAAAGTCACATGACTGTTTGCAGCATAATAACCAAATAACATCCCCATAATTCATTGCAGATGTGATAACCAAAAATGACATGGGGACCTTTTGGATCCTGATTTGGACAAAATAATTGAAAAGGGACATACAATCAGAGAAAAGTGTATGCGAAATGTGTACTAGATTATATTAAGAATCTGTACATGCCTGTTATGTCAAAAAATTCTTGCTATTTAGAGACGCATACACAATTATTTTTCAACAAGTTTGATATTTGCTTTGCAATAGTAAAAAAGTATAAGGGAGAAAAAGAATTTACAACCTTTGGCCAAATAGTGATACTCATTCGAGTAAAGGGAAGGCTATATATTGTTCATTATACTGTCTCAATTAGGTCTAAATATTTTCATAACACTAACTTTAAAATGCATGAAGAGCTGCTGCGGAGCTGTCCTTCAATTATTTTTACTGTAGGAGACTATCCAAGAATTTAAGATATTAAGATTCTGGTGCCTTGTACATATTTTTATTTCACTGTGTATGTCCTGCACCTGGAAGCAATCCATCATTTGAAATCACCCATTGGTTGCATAATGTCCTACTGCCTTGTTTGTGGCAGGAATGTACTGAGTGCTTAGGGAATCTAGATTTCTACTTTTCTTTCTCTCAGGACCCCAAAATTATGGTCCCTAAGTGCCTGGCTTATAGGAAGTAGAGTCAACACAATAGACAAATACCCCAAAACAATACCTTCTCTCATTCTTTAACAAAACAAAACATTGTTATTAGTACTATACTTGTGTTCAATATATAGGGTTTGCTTTGCTTGTGTGGGGCTGGTACATGCACATATCACAGCTTAATTCCTTTTCTCATCCCTCTTCCTCCACACCCCTCCCTCCCCCAGTCTCTTGACTCCTCTCCCCTTTGACAAGGGTGTCTCTACTTCCTATGAACTCTCTTTTTCTGAGTGTAACTCAGCAGCCCTGTAAGAGTGTAGATTTGTTTTTCATGGACAGCAAAATGGGATCTACTCCTCAATATCATGGACTAGAGCTGATGTGAAGAAAATCTTCCTTTAATAAATGATGAGGGCTCAGGGAAATGGAGACAGAAAATTGTAGTTAGGCTCTACAAGAAAACAGTAAAGAAATAATGGCAGCCAAAGATGGAAAACAAATGAAACAGTGAAGTGAACTTCAGACTCAGTCATAGCCAGGTCTTCCTCTCATACGCATCACTGTCTCCCCACTTCTCTGGCCATTTTCCTAGACCAGCTCTTCTTTCTCACTCCTTCAGTTGATACAGAGCCTCTATCTCACTTATCACTATTAGCACATCCAAAAATTGTCCCCCAAAGAAATCCAGGTTACATTCTTGGGCTTGATACGGAAACGCAGTCTCCAAAGAAGCCCTTGAGCCTCTCAGCTTTCTCCTGCCACTCAGCTGTCTCTTCCGTGGCTGGGGTTCACCTCTGGCCTCGTGGACAGCTTTCTCAACTTCTCTCTTGTTCTTTTCACTTGTAATCTTTTCTCTGCTCAACAAACACTATGCGAAGCTTCCAGATTACTATAAATCACTTATTGACCACTCCCTGTCTAAACAGAACCTTTTCATGCAGGATACCAGGTTCTATAAATCTCTCCTATGTCTGCCTTCTAATCAGGATTCACTCCTGATTTCTTTAAACACATGAAACTAAAGCAACTGAACCAACTGCAACAGATACTTTGGAGACTCCTTTCTTTGGTTTATGATGTTTCTGTTACATTCCAAACATTTCAACTTGTGATAACTTCCAATTTTTCCTTTCATTTTCCCTTGACATGAAGTCTTTCCTGGTCTTTGTCATAATTATTCTCTGCAAATTTCTGAAGTTCTTGATTTTTTAAAAAATTAGTGTTACACATTAGCACCCAGTGTCAATTTCATTTCTCCATTTACCCTTAAGTACTGTAAAAGCTCTGTTTGATTTATTTTTGTATCTCTGTTCTCTGCCACAGTGGCCTGTGAATAGTAAACGGTTAGCAAATGTTGATTAAAACCTGGTAGCATAATACTGAAAGTCTAAGTAAGACAGTTTGAGATAAAAGTAAAGCACTACTTTCATGAATCTAAAAAATTATGATTTTTCATATGTAATTATGAAATAAATCATTTAATTGGTTTATGCCAAATATTAAATACATTCATTTTTTACATATCACAGTTAATCTTCACAATTATGTCATTTTACAGATGATGAAACTAAATCTTGGGCACTTTACGAAATTTGTTTGTAATGGTCTACCTGATATGCAAATCCTCATTTCCCTGAAGCCAACCCTTAGTACTTTTTTTAAACTTCACTGTGTGTGGGAAGTCCTGAAATTTTAAAGTCTCAAAGGGGTATTAAAAAATAGTTTTAAAAAATAGGATAAAAAATAACAGGATGCATTACAGTAACCTACTTTGATTTCCTATTAACTTGATTTGAAACCCTGTATTGCCCTCACCATCTTGTTTTGACTGATTTTTCCCTTATTCTGCTTTGTTTGATAGTACCAAGTTCGAAAGTATAGGCAACAACTGTGAAGACAATAAGATTCATTATGACGCCCATTCTGGTTGACTATTACCTACTTTTAAAGTCCTGTAATGTCTCCAATGCTTTGGTTTAATTCTGTACTGTTTTTTCAATTTTATTATAACTGGCAATTCTTAAAAGAGCAAGAGGCAGTATGGTAGCCATTGTTGATCACCTTGTATTTTGTTTTTACATTATCTATTATGTCCATCCTTTTGATTTGACTGACTCTGTCCTGATATGTTGCATTTGGTTTTACTCTCTTCAAAAAAAGTAATAAGAACTGTGGGAATAATAAAACCCAAAATGTATCATTGTCATTGTACAAAAGAAAAGAAAGTGCTCTAAAGGTTATAACTGCATATATGTTTAAGTGTATAAGATAGATAACCATATTGCTGAGTTTTTTGGATCATTGAGCAAAACTGTTTGCACTCTCACTGTTTGAAAGTCTACTTTATATGCTTCAAATTTGTAACTTGAACAACTATTTCTAAGATGAGAGTATGTAATCTGCTAACTAGTGATTTCTTACTGTTTATTTTTTAAATTTTGTATTACTTGTGTACCCTTTTTCTGTTTTTTTCTTTTTCTCCTTAAATAAAAAAAAAACTAAAAAAGAATAATAAATAAAGTAAAATATATGTATTCATGTTGCTGATTTATTTAATGAATGAGCTTTTCCCTCACTGTTTTATGGAGCGAATTTTAATTTTTACTTTAAATTGACTACCTAGAAGATAGTCATTCATGTCATTTTTTCTTTAATTACTTTCTTTTATGCGATTTCACATAAATTATTTGCTTGAATGCACTGAAAAACATAATCTTCACTAATTTATCAAGAGTAGTTCTTAGGTAAAAATGAGAAGCTGAATTGCAGCTCACATGCAGGCATGCCACAAGCCTGTATACCGGCCTCACACTCCCACACCTATGTTTTTCCCCACTTCTGGGACTGTTCTCAGAACAACCTCTAATTCTAAAGAGAAAATCAACTTGATGGCCTCAATTTCCACTTGCTTCAAAGAGTTTTGTTTCTTTCCAGAAATCTTTCAATCTGAAAGGATTAGGTAATTGTGAGAATACATGAAATACGGTTCTTTGAAGCAAAATGTCAAATTGCATTTTTAAAATAGTTTGGGAAATGCATTGCTTTCCCAAGATGGTCATTTAAGAGAGTTCATGTGAATGTGAAGAGCTCTGATTGGTGTGTGTGTGTGCATACATATGTAAATGGCTAAATATTTTTCTACTATGTGTATATATCCATATATTCTGATATGCGTATTTCTATTTCCTTAGCTGTACCTATACCCTAAATATTATGTAACTACAATATGTCAGAAATGTCATTAGTACTTGAAAAGGAACAATTCCTTCTGGGACAAGGGAGACAGAAACACTCGTGTGACACAGGTGTGGCACTCAAGGGCCCACAGAGCTTCTGCATCCAGGGGTTAATTGAGGGCTCCTCTGAGTCAGACAGGCAGAAGGCTTCTGCTTCCGGAGCGCTGCTCCCGCGTGGTGCTGCAGGGCAACACACTGGGTGGGTGGGGGGGGGGGCGACTGATGATTAGATACACTGGGAAGACCAGGCCCTTAAAGGCGTGGGAGCATAACACACCTCAAAAACTCAGAAACGCAGGGTGAGAAAAGAAAGAAAATCATTTTATGTTTCAAACACCTTTTATAAAGGTTCCTCCTTGTTTCCTGTACACACCCTTTAATAACTCATTATCCATGTTAAGTAGACCTGTGATATTTAGGCTGAAATTGCTTGTATTTCCTTCCAACAAATACGTACATTGTTATGCCTCACAGTGTCCTGTTTTTTAGTTGGTTGATCATTTAAAGGTTGTGAAACTATGGCACGTTTTTTAATCTCTAAGTGTTAGTTTTTTTAACTTGTGAAACAGAGACGGTCTAGTACCTGCTGATAAGGCTGCTGAAAAATGAGGGTCTATGCACGCAAAGTCTCGCAGCGTGCTTGGCCCCTGCAGGCGCTGTGGTCTCCGGGATTCCTCCAGCTTAGCTGCGAAGCTCTCCTGTTCCCGCGCGGCCTTATCCTTCCTTCAGTAGTTCTCCGTTAGAAGGGTATTATGTAAATGAGCGCACAGTGCTGGAAAGAGCTAACATTTTCTACAGCAAACACGAAATAAGATCCAGGCGCACCAAGTAGCCTAAAATTGTGCATACAGAGTCCTTGGCTCTGAGGCCAAAGAGGAAGCCAAACCTTCGAGGCTATTTTGCACAGTGTGTGTCTGTTGTTTAAGGGTCTGGGACTTTTTCTTTCTGTTCTGCTTTTTGTGAGTTTAAGGGAAAAAAATATATGAATTCCTTCTTCCTTCAGCAGGACCATTCAGGGCCTAAGGTAAAAACTACAACAACAAATCACATGGCTATTTTGGTTGTGCAAAAAATGACAGTGCTGGGGCCTTCTAGCCCCATTCAGCGCTGCAGCATGTGCCGGGCAGAGAAGGGACTCCGGTTACCCCCAGTCCCAAATTTAAAAATTGCGTGTGGTGTTATAACGAGGTGCTGCATTACGTCCTGTTGACCTGGCCATTATTAAAGAAGATAATTACTCGATTTTCCTAAATTTAAAAAGTTGCAAAATTTATGGCCTTTGTGATCTAGCTTTGTATAAATTCAAAAAAATTCCTTAAGTCCTTCATCATTCACAGCATCATCATCGGCCCCAGACAACACACTTTGCTTCTCAGAAAGATAATCAGGTATTAGGCGCCTCTGCATCTATATTTTTTAAAACTAAGAAAGAACGGGTAGAAAAAAACCAACTATTTTATGTATCTAAATATGCACTGTATTATTTTTATAACCTTTACTTTCATGAAGCTAATGTTAAAATTAGATTATTGAGAAATGATTGTTAAAGTGCTCAGTAAATGTAAAATCATTATGCAAATATGTTAACTGATCACAACAATAAATTGACACGTGGCAATTTGATACTTCAGTTTATGATTTTACTTGCTTTATATCTCAAATGAGGGGCCAACCTCAGGCAGTATTTTCACAAACATATATCAATAAGTCAATAAGACATGATGTTTATGTAAGTTAATGTACAATTATCTATGATTACATATAATCATGGATAATTATGTAGCATAAATACTGAAGTCTGACATTTGCTTACCATTTCTCTGTGCCATAGTAATGAATTCTGTTCAGTGATTAGTTGTGACATGAATGATTTTATAAAATCAATTCCAAGATGCACTTAGTAAATTTTAACGATTTATAATCAGGGTGCTTCTCATCGTGAATATCCAAAAATCTGCTACTGATTTTTATATCAAAAGATTTTCATTAAATATGTAACAAATGATACAAAGTTTTGTAACAAGTTAAAGGAGTAGAAGCTGTTATACCAACATATGTCTAGCCATCTTTTGTAGATATATCATTCAATTAGCTTCCAATCCCATATGCATTCCATTCACTTATTTTTGCTATGACTTCCTAGCAAAAATGAACTCTTCTTATTCCTTCGTCATTAAATGCCATGATAGAGGTAACAAACTTCTCTAATATTAGTTTTCAAAGGCCAAGTTGTGAAATATGAACAAGTATCTTAGCAAAAATAAACGGGCTAGAGTGCTCTAACCTATAACAACTTGGATCGGCTTTGACCCAGACATAAAAATGCAGATAACAGCCCTGAAAGCACAGAGAGGGCTTCTAATTAAGAGGAGGAAATCTTCTCGAGGTGACTCAGTTTCAGGTCTTTTGCAGCTTGACCTAAATGTCATTTTTCCCTTTACTTTAAATTTCAAAGCAAAGAAGCAAATCAAATTAATATAACAACTCTGTAATATTAACTTGAAACTAGCTATTAGTGTTATATATCATCTTGCATTTTTATGAACTATTTTGATATTATTCTCATACCCCACATATAGTTTCTGTGGTGCAATACATGGGAAGCCAATTACCCAGTGCTTTCATTCTCTTATAGAAGAGCAGAGTCTGACTTTAGATTGAGAACAGATGATGATATCCTCATGAAAACAAAAGGTTGCTTTAAACTTCCCTAGCCACCTGTCGTCCTCTCAGCATGTTGTCTTCTCTTCCCTTCTCTATCCTAAGATTGTCAGGTTATCCACCCAGCCCGTCACAAAATGCTTACTTCATACTCTGGCAGGTGCTGTGCTAGATCTTTGGAATGCCAAGATGAGCATGTTTCACCTTCCAGGACATGCAAATGATCAGATACTTTCAGTCTTGTGGTTAAGCTGTAACACAGGGCAGAGCAGAGCCGGCCAGGCGACAGAAGAGCTAGGTTTTGTCTCAAGGGACCAGAGAATGGCCAGGAGGATAGGATGTGAGTCAGTGCAAGTGGACTGAGTAGTTATATTTGTAGGTTTTTCTCTTTAGCCTAACATTTTATTTAACTCTTCAGATAGAGCCCTGGAATGCTACATTGATTATTGAATTTCCAGGCATACTCTGTAGCTCCAGGGCAGATTTTGTTTTTCCTTGAGCTTCTCTAGGGGCTTGATTTTTGAGCCTGATCCAGGAGAGCATGACACAAGGTGGCAGTAGCACTCACAAGCTTTATCAGGAGCTACTCTGACCGGTTCTGCAGGAGGGCAGTCCACTGCAATAGGAGTGCAAAGACAGAGATGCAGGCGTGGTGTGGGACAAGGGGACAGGACTGGAGAGGGGTTCATGATCTCGGCGATGCTGCTCAGCAGCATTGTGGGAGAGCTCTGGGTCAGAGAGCTCTGAAGGGCAGTCGTGGCTCATGTCTTAATGACCTAGGACTTGTCCATTGCCAGCAGATGTGGGGTGAAGTTTTGCAAGGCATGCAAAACAGGCAAATCTTGGAAGTATAAAAATCCCCAGACCAAAGATGAGATCTAACAGAGGCCAGTTTTGGCTCATTTATGTCACAGCATCACATGGGTATCATCAGATGTCATTTTAACAATGTCATCCAGGTGTTATAGAAGGATCATCAATCTCAAGAAGAGCTGGTGGGCCTTCCTTCTTAATAGCATGGTGTCATCAATCCCTGAGACAGAAACTGCATGGTCACACTGTTCCTCCCTGGCAACAGATCACTTCCTAAGCATTTCACCTACCCAGTTCTCCAGGTGGAGCTACACGTCTCCTCCTCGGCTTATAGTTCAATGGTCTGCTAGGTTAATCTCATTTAATTTAGAACCTCTTCCCATCAGTTCCCTAGCCAACAGTCAGGGTTGTCTTTTGAAATTTGTATTAGCTCATGCTAGCTTGTTATTTGAGTGTTTGTTTTATTTCACTCTAAGGCTGTGTCTTCCTGGGTTGCCCAGTCTGGTCTCGATCTTCAAACCCTGGGGTTGCAGGCACACACCTCTGCCTTTTAACAACACTCTGCCCAGAAACCCATGCAATGTCTGTTCTTACCTGTCCTCCAGATGCTTCTCCTACCACCTCGCAGGGAGCTTACCAACAGCCACTGACTGACAGACCAGTCTGTGCCCAACCCACACCACGCACAGTTGCATTGCTTCCTGCTGGCTGGGGCTCCTCTACTGGAGTGTAAGCAGCTGCTTTCCTCCTTTAGATGTTGCCTAAATGTCAACTCCCTGGGAAGGTCTTCTGGCCCTGCCTGGAAGAGACACAAGCCTCCCCCCATCCCACTCCCTTTATTCCCTCTCAAGTTTTCTATGTATTTCTGCCATAATAATTTCAGTATGTAATGGAGATCTCCTTTTTACTTATTCTGTGAACTTCTTTAAGCTTCATGAAAGCAGACTCTGTCTCGCTCACTGCTTTTTGATTTGTATTTGTATTTTTGTTCCTTTATTAGGTCTCTAGTGCAGTGCCTGGCACATAATAGAATCTTTACTGTTTGTTAAATGAAATCATGCGTATGGTCATGAAGAATAAAAAAGTAAGGGGAGGGAGAGGATACTTCCCTTAAGTCCTAACGTGCTGTTTATGATGCTATGCAGTTAATGAATACAGAAAATTCAGTACTGCCTTTTTGGTAAGGCAAAGGAATTCAAATAACTGGGAAATAGAAACTGCCTCTGAGTAAGTTTGAAAATCATGAGTGTGAGTACTGGCAATCACTGAGTAAGACTGAGCTACATAACAATAGGTTGTGATCAGCTATTCCCTAAATGTTTCAGGCCAAAGAAGCAAGAATGAACTTCACTGGGATGTGAAACATGTATTAATAAATACTTTGCACTGTGGAAGAATAAAGTAAAAAATCTGAAAATCCTGTCTACCATGCTTTTTTACATTTCTAAGACATTGGTGGCGGTAATGCCTTTTCATTCTTATGTGTCTATTCCTTTTTTCTTTTTTCTTACTGAGTTTTAGTGGAATTTATCTATTCTGTATTAGGAGTACAAATCATGACAAAATAATCATACAAAGAATAAAGCTATGACAGAAAAACATGTTTCCTATGAACTCGGCAGTATTCTGAATGAACCTCAGGTCTCAAGCACACTATGTCTGCCAGCACGGCCACTGAGCCACATCCCCAGGCCTGGGACTTGTTATGTAGGGAAAGGAGTGCTTGATGCTATAGGTGTGTTCTACAGATACCAGGATTGCACCAGGAGAGAAGAAATGGGAATTTGCAGTGATAAATACAGGAATGTCCAATTAGTTTTTCATTATACCATTTGGAAATCATTAGCTTTTTCACTAAAGTCTTTATAGTTTTTATTAATGGGAAACACCAACAGTGAATAGCAAGATTTTCTTGTCTTCTTTCCCTTCTTTGGTGAAAACAAACTGCAAACCAGCTACTTTCTGAGAGGAACAAGATTGTAAACTTACACAACCTTGGAGTGGAGAGACAATTTACTTCTCTGCCTTTCTATGCTGCTTGTTCTCTTCTTTCTACATTTTTTCTTCAACAAGACCGAAGATCTGATATAAGTAATAATTGGGAAGTGTTCTTTGTTCTCACTGACCCAGCCACTCACTATTATTTATGGAACAGGTCTCTATGAGTACTGACTGTGTGCCTGCCTCTGTGCGAGGTTTGTTCAGTAGTGAAGGAAGCTGAGGTAAAGGAAAATTTGTGGAGGAAAGGTGACAACATGGA